ATCAGTTCATGTTGCTATAACATGTCAGCACAGAGACGTAACTGTCAGTTCAAACAAGTGATTACGATAGTGGAATTATTAGCAGCAACGCAGAAGATTAGGGAGCGAAGATATAATTCGAAAAGTTTAATTCAGTGAGATAAATTCAAAAGAACGAGAGAGATGATGAGGGATTCAGCAGGTTAGAACTAGAGAGAACATAAAGAGTGGATGCACCTGCGCGATTGCAAACAATTTTAAGCCATGTCATTCAAGGTCTCTAACCATCGATTACTCTCGTCTCGCGGACTCCAACCAGGTAGTCTACATCCACTAACATGACTCAGTCTAGCTGTCAGTGACTTCATGGATTTGTGCCGTGTTTTGGTCTGGCCGCCCATAACTTTCTTCCAACCTACTCCTACACCACAAAACATAGCTCGTCCGGGCAGTCGGAGGTTAGGCATACGTCACGCATGTCCTAACCACCTCAACTGGTGAAGTTTCACTGCTTCATTTATTGATCTGCTATCCTTACCTAGAACTCGTTTCCTAACGACAGCATTGTTACGGGAGAAATGAAGACAGTTTGCTGATCAAAACCTTTATATATAAATATCATTAATTTCACTGTGTTTTTTGGGTACATTTGTTTTACTTAACTTATGAACTTGTTTGAATTATTATTTTCGGCCATTTTTGGACTCCTGTTTCTCCTGGTTGTTCGTTTGCAGTTTTTTGCTCCAGAAACCTATAAAATAGAAGGTAATTGTAATTATTATAATTACTGTTGTTAGAACGACATTGGTCGTCTATTTGTAACAAACACATTTTGGTCGAATATTTGGTAATCGGCAATAAACTTTGGTATCTACTTTGGATTTTCCTTTTGGTTTAATATTTGGGATCGTGAATTGCAAATAGATCGACAAACTGTGCTTCTAAGGATCAACGAGCAAAAAATTGGACGTAACAAGCATTGCTTACTCGGTCGTCTCAGGATACACGAGCAATGCTTCGGATACACCGATGATCGAAGACTAGTAACCTACGAAAGTCCTCTACTCTTACCGGCCATGTTTCGCATTCGTATAGTAGGACAGAACGAACTACTGCGCAGTACACTCGTCCTTTGTTTAACAAGCGGATATTTCGCCTACGCCATAAGTGACGCAGGTTGGCAAAAGCCAATCGAGCCTTCTGTATCCGTGCTGAGATTTCGTCAGCCACCAAGCCATCATCACTGATGAGACTCCCAAGATAAGTGAAGAGGTTTACACGCTCAACTACTTCACTCCCTATCACTAGTTCAGGTGCCGATGCAGCCCAATCTTGAAGCAGCATTTTGCATTTCGAGGGGGAAAACCGCATCCCGAACATGCTTGCATTGTTGCTTATGGTAGTCAGAAGACTCTGCATTTTGTCAGCGTCTTCACCAAGTAGGACTATGTCATCGGCATATTCTAGGTCAGTACGCGATTTTCCTGGTAGAAGGTCGACCCCTGAAAAATCTGACGAGCTTAATGTTAACTCTAGGAGGATGTCTACGACAAAGTTAAACGAGAATGGGGAGAGTGGACAGCCCTGACGGACACCACTTGATGTAGAGAATTCCGGTGACATTTCGTCATAAGCTCCCGATCCCCAACATGCTTGCATTGTTGCTTAGGGTGGTCAGAACCTCATGAAGTTTCCTTGCGGTGTCTTTCCTACGTCCAGTAAGCCTCAAACAAATACGCGCTCTCACTATGGCATGATCTGAATCTAAACATGTGCTCCAGAACGAGCAACAGTCCTCTATCGAACCCCTCCATCGGTGGCTGATGGCGATATGATCTAGTTGCGTCCAACGTTGAGACGACTTCGGGGGTCGCCAGGTCAACAGACGTTTTTCCTTATGCCTTAAGTTACTGTTTGCTATAAATAGGCGGTTATCTGAGGATACTTGCAACAGACGGTCGCCATTGTCTGTTCTTTCAGCCGCGACACCATAGCATCCACCAAGGTGTCACTCCTGCTCACTTAGTCTACCTACCTGAACATTGAAGTCACCAGCCATTATTACTACATTGGAGCGCCTAGCTTTTTGGAGGAGGTTCGAAAACTTTCTGTAAAACTCATCCTTCACCTCGTTTGAACTACAGTCAGTGGGGGCATAGGCAGATACGGCGAAGAGGCAACGGCGAGTGTCCCTATCTTTACAAATCCTTATTGTCTCGTTCAGTCAGACAGCACACAAGCGACTTTCTACTGGGATCCAGTCTAGTAGGGCTAGTTATGTTGTAGGACTCAATGCTATACCTACGCCGGCGAGACCGTGGGAAGCAGCATCAGGGCTTCCAGATACACAAAGAGTAAATCGGGCTGGTTCTTTAATTTGAGAAGGTGAGGTCAAATTAATGACTTTACTAGGATCCTGTGCGCGCGTTTTCAAGACGCGGCATACATCGATGGTGAAAGATTCCAATGTCCTAGCTTAGTAAGCCTGTTACCCTATTTGGCGCAGTGTTCGGAAATTAAGTGGTTCAACTTTTAATTTATAAAGAGGTTTTAGGAGACCAGGAATAATGTTTCGTGAACTCTCATCAATTGCATTAGCAGTGCAGGGTGATAAAGGAATATGAGAAGGGTCAATCTTGGAGATAAGAGAGATGTTAGGGGGTTAGGAAGGATTTGTTTGTGACCGAACTGGTCTCGCGTGCTTTTACGGGTATGAGGGCGGTTTTCGCGTTCCGGCTGCCCGCACCGTGGAAGGGTGTTTCTTGAGGAACCTGAAAAGGAATGTATATTAGTGTTGGTCCGAGGGAACCATCTTACTGCTGTCACACCTCTCTGCAGTCAGCAGTGCGACTTCGCCCTCAGAAGTTGAGTAGCTGCTTTTAGTCATATCGCTCTCTATTCGACCTGCCTGGCACGGTAGAACCTTCAGGAACATATGTTCCATCCAATATAGCTCGGTTGGGTCATCACGATAGACAAGCTCGACCACTAGGTCAAGGTGGCAGCTACGGTTGGGATCCGTACCTGCGTCCAGACATTTACTAATACAAAGTCACACATTGTGGACATCACAGAACTCGTTTTCAGTAGACTGATGGAAAGTGGGCGCAGAGTTGCTTAAAACAAAAAGCACATGCAAAATTTCACAGTCCAAAAAGTGTGAAATTTTTTGGTTATATGTTCTAACCAAATCGATTTCGCTAAAGAGACCACAAGAAAAAGCCAATCCCAGTAACAGTGCTGAAATTAATTAATGACGATAGCCGTTCGCACTTTGGTTTTCCAGTTCAATTTCCCACACAACCTATGCTCTCCGATTGATTATTACTGTTTTTTAACCCACTAATTTTTGTACGCCTGAAGACTATCTCTCTCATGCAAAGGATGTGAAGGCTGTCGGATGAAAGGATCATTCCCCAATATATCAAGTACCACACTTCATTTTTGGCCTGTATTTGAAATTTAGGAACCAATCCGTACTCTTCCGGGAAGGCAGGCAATCCCGTATTCGTGAAGTGATGTGCGACATTGCCGTGTATAAACGGTAGTTGATGCCATGTAGTGTGAATTTCTGAATATTTGTTGAGTATTAGTAAGAAGTACGAATCAATTATTTGCTTAGTTGTGACTTGGCGTAAGCTATAGCCAGAGAATCCGCAAGCAAATAACTTAGCAGTCCAGTCTACTAACTCCCAGTTGCCTGGGTCAACAAGCAGATGATGGTCTTGTATTAGTTACACGTCACTGAATGACATGAACACATCTTCAATGATGAAAACGTACTGGATGTGCTGACACAAACCAACTTTATAGTAAACATACTTTTTACCGTAAGTGGCAATCATTTGGCGCCTCTGGACTGAAGACCGAATCTTGTAGAAAATTATTGGTATTTGTGGAAAAGAGACGAACTTCTGTACCGGATTTAGTGAACCTTCAACACCAAATAAGTAATCTGTAATAGATGACTATATCCATCCACTAAGGTTACCGTTATTGTCGATAACCTTTGTCTGTAGGTTAGGTCCCTACGATTAAAAATGTCTACTTTTAGGGTGTTATGAGGTTTGGAAACAAATATCGCTGGTAAACATGCCAGCTGTAACGTACCTGTTGAACTTGCGTGACGGTTCCTTCATTGCTACAAGGGATTGCACACATGGTTCTATCGCTCCCCGCTCATGAATGCCAGGCTTGGGTATTATTGGCCTCGAATGGCATGATCTAAAAGGTCGGGGTGTTGGAGTCTTAAATTTGCACTGTCTGACTGTGTTTCAACACAATTATAACAAACTTACAAATACGAGCAAAAATCTAAGACAAAAATAATATAATATTATGTAAAAATATCTGTAACTTTGGTGAGTTATAACACGAAACAGACCCACATTCCATCACTTAGTGTACCAGGACAGGTCAGGAATCACCTCTAGGATGTCATAGATATTAGGGCTTGACAAAACTGTTTCTTTTGGTATCTTTATCACCCATGATCCCAAATCCAATCGAAACAGAAGTCAGGAATGGAGTTTGATGACATACATAGATGACAGTCAATATGTAGAGAAGAAAATGATCGAAGCTGACTGCTTTTTGCCAGGGAGGAGTATAACGGCACACCCATTTGTGATCTTCTGTGTGTTCTTCTTCTTCTAGGATTTGTCCAGTAGAAGTAATGGGGTCAGCATCATTGTCGAAGACAGAGTGCTATTTATTATTTACTTGCAAGTACCAGAAAATCAACCAGCTAGTTTCAAGCATAATATTTAAGACAGTAAGCAAAACTTAAGGAATGATAGAATCCGAAAGCTTAACTAAATTTAATTTCCTTCTACCATTTCTACACGATGTCTCTGTACATTTGTGAATTAGATATTTCGTCATTGTAAAAATTTCGTTCTTTCATATGTTTTTTTTCACATACAGTAAGGTGTTTGTATTCATTATTTGATGGGTAGTAGCTTACCTTTACTGATATTAACTTCGTGATTACATGCACTAATTTATGTTTCAATCCATCGCGGCCACATCGATTTCCGTCGGAAATGGCGCACCCTGCAAAACGGTCAAGGTATGACGTTCTTGCTGCAGCTACTGCTCAATTCTACAACACTACAGGAACAGTACCGGGAAGTCTTCAGTTGGCTACTGATATCTCTTACCTGGTTACAAATCAACCTACCTGCACTATTGTCGTCGGTGATATACCGGAAGGTTGTACAGAGAGAGATTTAATTGGACTTTTCAGCAGATACGGGCAGATTAAAAATGCTAAGTTGGTATGCAATCGTCGAGCTGCTCTCGTTGAGTTCTGTGAGATTTCTCCACCTACTAGACTTGTTCACATGGCGAAGATCAACCCTTTTTGTGTTGGTCCAAATCGTGTTAGACTGGAATTTTCTAACGACACTATTACTCCTTCAAATGACTGCAAACATCGGTCACAGTCTTCAGCACTAGACCATAATTCCCCTACCCGCATTCTACATCTGGATATTTCAAATGCTGAATACCCAATCACTGTTGATGTAATCAAGGCAATCTGTTCTCCTCATGGAAACATATTACGTACCTTCATTGGGAAGAAAAATCTTGACCGCTCATTAGAAGCTCTTGTTGAGTTTGAAAATGTTGAAGAAGCTAGGGCAGCCAAAGAACAACTTGACGGTGCTGACATATATTCCGGTTGTTGTAATCTTACGGTTGCGTATTCTCGTCTTCAACGTGTCCATGTAACTCAGAATGACAGCGAGTCTTGGGATTTCACTGGTCCTAGCGGCAATTTAGAAGGGCCTGTAAACAATCCCCCCACCCAGCGTACGCTGCTTGGTTCAATGGCTCCACTTCCTAATTCGTCTGCCGCTCCAGCAATCTTACCGCCTCCTGCGGCCGCTCCATTCCCGCAAGTGCCTCCTGTATATGGATCACAACCTTATCCTTCCCCCCAGCCGCCGGTGGGTTACTATGGGGTAGGACCACTTATTCCTCCGGCGTGTGCTGTCCCTGCAGGAACACCATATGCTTCTCCATATCCAGGCTACTGGCAACCGAACATGATCCCAACTGCTGGTATCCAGCCATTCAGACCACAAGCTTCTACTGGTTTCACACCACCATCACAAGTGGTAATACTTCCAACCCCTCCTTCAGTTCATCAAGTTAATGCTAGTGGGATTGGAATTGGTCATTCAACATCAAACCTATCTGTAACAACTCCAGCTGCTCGTCAATCGGATCTGTCAGTTTTCGAGGTTATTGAAGGTGTGGTGTTAATGGCCAGCAATATACCACAACGAATGAACTGTGATCATTTGTTCAACTTGATTTGTCTTTATGGTAATGTAGCACGAATTAAGTTTTTGAAGACACGTCCTGGCTATGCAATGATTCAAGTTGGAAATCCAGAAACAGGTGATCTTATACATCGATACTTCAATGGAGTTTGCGTATTCGGTCAAGTTGTCCAATTTCATCACAGCAAAGTAACAGAACTTAAGGAACATGAAAATCTAGGGACATTGGCTGATGGATCACCAATTATGAAAAACTACATGAGTAAGTTTTCGTTGTACCGTGAAATATTACATATATACCTTAGTATTGTATCTGACTTAAAGAATTAGTCTCAAAAGTTATCTAACTTTTTGTAGTCTACTTTCCTAGTATTTTTACATATTTTAATTATAATCCACACTAAACCTATTTTCATTATTAGGAGGGTAAGCGTCTTTGTTTGTGGGACTGACGGGTGTGTAATGTGTTTTCTATGGGAATTTCTTCTTGAAACGAGCTTACAATTTCTCAGAAGGTTATTGTTTAACAAACTTGTAATAATAAGGATCAGTAAGTCTTCATTAACCGTTCCCACATTTAATAGAACTCACAGTACCACGTTAATATCCTTTGACAACTAAGTTTCTCAGGTGGCATTGATTTCTTAGCCAGTCCGCACTAGTCCTAGAAAATTCATCTTTATTACATAAAGCTACCCTTATTATTTCCGTTTTTAAAGGTATCAGCTGAACTAAGCCATTCAGGTTGGTTAGGAATACTTGATTGAAGTTCGTTTGATTGGACTCTGGCTTGCTTAGTTGTAAAAGTTTCTTCCATACCACATGAATATATGCCATTTAGGGATTGATTCTGACAGTTCCATCTCTCTATTCTAGTGAGATATGACAGCTCAAAACGATGTGCACGTATCATGTCCTGTGTTGCATACGTACTCTAAGCAAATCTTTTCTATACTTGTTCTGTAAGCACCAATTTCATCGTATCTACGATCTTGTTTTTCAGTAAATGTAACTTTGTTTGGGTTTGTGAATTCTTTTGCATTAAGCTTTATAAAATTTCTTTTATACAATAGCTGACCCCAACAACCGCTTTCGAAATTCAATGGTGGCTGCCAAAAGTAGAATTCTGGAACCTTCTCGCACCCTTCATTTCTTCAATGCTCCACTTAATTTTAGTCCAGATGACATTTGCCGAGTGTTCGCAGATTGTGGTGCTATACCTCCACCTCGCGTTGTGATATTCACTTCTAAAGCAGGTCAAAAAACTTCTCTCGGTAAGTATTGATAATTGTCAATGTAATATTTAGTGCATTTATCCATCCTGACCAGTTCATTAATTGTGAACACAAGCTTTGTTGTAATCATGCTTTAATGTTTGAAATAAGACTACTTACATCATATTTCTATATGCGTTGTCAAACGTCTCATTTGAATCAATAACATAACTTATAGGAAGAAAGTTAGGGGCGGCCAAACCAAAACATGGCAAAAATCCATGAAGTCATTGACTAGTGGACTGAGCCATGTCGGTAGTTGTCGACTACCTGGTTGGGGTCCGCGAGATGGTAATACTCGGTGGTTAGAGACCCTGAATGACATGGCTCGAAACCGTTCGCTATGGCGCCGGTGCATTTATTCCTTGTGTTCTCTCAAATGCTAATCTTCTGGATTCTTCAACACCTCTAGTTTTGTCTTTCTAAACTTATCTCACTGAATCATTCTTCTTGAATAATATCTTCTAATCCTAACCTCTCCGATTACTTCTGATACTTTTACTACCTCTTCTACTATTGGATTTGAATTGACAATTACATCTCTGTGCTGATGTAGTATGGCAACATGAACTGATGTACTTACGTACGAAGTTTAACGTTGCATCTGACTGACTGACTGACTACCCGTTAGTCAACACTAGAATAGGTAGTGTTGTACTAATCCTCGGGATGATAATTCAGTGTTGAAGACAAAGACTTTCATCTTTTGTCCCTGTTAGATGCTGAAACTACACTTTATCCATTGTATAGCATTAAAAACTGTCTCGCCATTCTATGCTTCAGTTTCAACAAAGTGTTCCAGTTATGCTTACTTAACTAAAAATGTAAAACACCAATTCGCTAGCTAAGTAGAAAGAATATAAGCTGGTGGATGGTGTTTTTCTGTGTATGCAATAGTTGTCAGAAGCTTTTGTTAAGGTGTGCTAAATGTTACTACTCCAAATACCTAACTTTGAAATAGTGGAGGATTATAGTGAAGTTTCGTTCAAGACTTCATGAAATTCCATAAGTCACGGTTAATGAGAAACATTTTAACTTTATATAAAAACAGTAATGGATTTGTCTCAACATCTACCTGACTTTATATATATATTTCTTTACACATTTTTGAAACCATTAACCGATCAATGTTAGACCACCATTAGAAACCTGGAAGCACTGGACGGCCGTTTCGTCCTGGTATGGGACTCCTCAGCAGTGCGCATCCACGACTCCTGCACCCCGCAGGACTCGAACCTTCGGTATTGTGCTCGAACTCACTAACCGATAGACCACTGAGCCGGTAACTAACGGTGTAAATGTCTCACTTCGATCAATTCACGGAATTGCGCAACCTCATACACAGTCTTCGGTAGTTACTGTCTACACCCGAACAGGTTGAACTTCACTGGTCACGTCTTCCCACTAGAACTCGGTGAAGATTCCTCACGAAGCTAGTCACTAGTGAGCTCAGGTAATTTGCATTACGGGGTTGTGAAGATCGTTGAGTTACACATTTTTGAAACCACGAATCGGTCAATGTTAGACCACCATTAGAAACCTGGAAGCACTGGACGGCCGTTTCGTCCTGGTTTCGATTAACAATCTTCACAACCCCGTAATGCATATATTTCTTTGTATAAAGTCCCAGGTTTTTTTTTCATGGCTAGCCTCTTTCAAATCCTTTACAACAAAATACATCAACCAGTTAAGTCGCTTGAAACTGTCATCTTTTCAAGTATCTAAAAAAATACTAAATACAAGTTTTCATTCTTTTTTTGCACAGGCTTAGTAGAGTGGGATACATTGACAGATGCTCTTGAGGCACTGATTTTAGCAAATCATCGACCAGTTCACGTATCTGGATACGCTCATCCTTTCCACTTGAAAATCGCTTTCAGTCCAAAACCTATATCCGATGACAGAGCTGGTATTTCGCTGATACGTTATCCTGCACCACCTTTAATGCCTACACACCATGGATCGTCGGCAGTAAACGGTCAGCGAAACGATAAGGTCTCTGGTGGCGCTACTAATGGGGAACAAGAGGATGAATTAGATATTCTGTCAAAAGTGGAAAAAGCTGAAGGTTATGCAAAGCCTGAACCAAAAGAGGAGGACACAGTTGATGCTAAACCGGATTCAGTTAAACCTTCGCCGGAGGATGAAGAATCGAAGCCTGCAGTAGACTCGTCAGAGGTGACCGAGACCGAGACCAAGGACTGATATACCGCAGTATAGTTAACACCAATATCCCATGATGTTTAGCAGATTAAGGAATGGCCGCTAATGCAAATGAGTATGTTGTTGGTTATTCAGTTCATTTTTATCTATCTATCTATCTCTTTCTCTCATGCATACGTCTCTATCTATATGTGTTATGTAAATGGATTGTCTCATCATGGTCATATAACTATCATGTTTTCATTTATCATGGTTGTAATAGATATCTTAATATTTTTTATGTGGCAATAGCCTTATTTATTTGATAAAGTTAAATAATAAAATAATTTGTTCCCTTTTTTTGCTCTATCGATCGACTGATTAACTGATTGACTGCTTAGCCTACTTACTATATCGTCGTCTAATGATTTATATATTGTATTTCTATTTGATAAAATCCGTCAGGCTCTCTCTCTCTCTCACTCTAAGTTGGCTTCATGCTATCATGTTATGTGCTGATCACTAAAAAAAAGTTCATTCATGTTTAAACTATGATAAAGTTCTTATTGATCATTTTATTTAAAGCTTCACTGACTGACGACTATCTTTTATGTGTTTGTATTATTGTCATTCATGTTTATTATGGTCATTGTTTTTATTTGACGGAAAAAAAACATATCCTAAATGAAATGTCTATTTGTTCTATAAATATCTTAAGACTATGTTTTGATATACGTATATATATATATATATGTATATATTATGTGCCTTTATGTCTGGTTAAGCTAGCTAACTAGCTAGTCGTATCATTTGTATAGTGTAGGATAAGTTGTTGTTGTTATTATTATTATTATTATCATAATACCGTATATACAGATTCTCGTTTCTAGTTGATTTTGATCCAATTGGCATTATGTACGTACATCTCTAGTTCACATGATGAAAAGAGTAGCCTCCGTGATTACACTCCCGTTTGGTGATATTGTAAAACACACATTTCCATCCAATGGATACATGCTGCCGGTCTCAGAATCTTTTATGACAAAAATAACTTTTCACATAACTTTGATGATATTCATCTGCTTGTTATTGTAATTTCTTCTTTTCTTGTGAAATATTTCTGTGATTTACATCGAAAAAAGAACCTATAAGTAATAATAAATTTTGATCCTTCCATTTACCAATAGAAAAATGGATTCGGGTGATTGTCAGTCTTAAATGTGAACTTCGTTTCAAGTTTAGTCATGTGAAAGTGATTACTGAATGATGGGATTGTTACAAGTTGTAAAAAAGTGTAATTATTTCCCATATCGTTAAAGTGACCTGTGGTATTATAATAGGATATTTTCACTTGATGTGAAATTCCATCATGTTCTGATGATGTGCTCAAAATTCTTTAATAATAATTAAGACGTCTGTTTGGACTCACATGTAAAGTTAGACGGATTTGTACTAACCTGGGATGTATTTAGTGTGGTGCTGTGAACCTAGTCAGTCAGTCACATACAGCGTAGAATTTCGTACGTTCGTACATTAGTTCAGGTTGCCATACCATGTTGTCACACAATTCAAATCCTATAGTAGTAGAGTTAGTAGAAGTATGAGCAGTAATTGGAGAGATAAGGCTGTGCTATAAACCCAGCATTTATTCATAAGAACACAAGCAAGGGACTGACCGTCAAAAAGACCTATATCAATAAAGATGAATATGCAAAGTTATTACAATTTCTAAAGGTGTAAGATTCGATCAGTTTACCTGGTTTCCTTTTGTCGCTACGATTAGTTTGAAACAATTTTAAGCATCCAATGAACCCTGAAACAATGTGACTTTTCAATTTTAGCAGCAGTTCTGTATTATTCATACCCACGGTCGTCAGTATCGAACAACAGGACGGAAAACTTTTTAAATGGATGTTTGCATTTGTAGGATTGCCAACAATAAAAAAGTTCCTTAAGCAATTTTGAGCGACCGAAAATATAAAAATGAAAAATATTTGCACTGTCTTATTATTTATGAATAGTAATTTTTGCCGACAAATTAGTCTATTTCAAATTTAAGTGAATCAGACGACCTGTACCGTTTTTACACTGTATCATTGTTCTATATGCCTCATCTGCACCAAGAACGCCGCTCCGACAATTCTAGGTCCTCAGAATTGCAGGAAGATATTCAGGTTGTTTAGTCTGTCTCTGTTATGCAACACGTGACTCTGTCTTTTCAGTTTTTTAGATTGGTTGTTGGGGCAAAAGAAAAAAAAGAGTGGACCGACAAGATTTAAAACCCTTGGGAGTGTTGTTTCTCCTTTCATTATTCAATTTTATATGTATTAACCTTCTTAATAGCCTCTCACCTGGTATCCCTATAAATGGATACCAAGTTTTGCTCTGAGATTTCGAGTGAACTACATCAATGGAAGGAGTTTTGATATGTTTATGAAATCTGTCCCATCCGACCTAAGGATGTTCTGTGACTATGATCATCGTTTCAGTCAGTCAGTCAGATGCAACGTAGAACTTCGTACGTAAGTACATCAGTTCATGTCGCCATACCACATCAACACAGAGATGTAATTGTCAATTCAAATCCAATAGTAGAAGAGGTAGTAAAGGTATTAGAAGTAATCGGAGAGGTTAGGATTAGAAGATATTATTCATGAAGTATGATTAAATGAGATAAGTTTAGAAAGTAAAAACTAGAGGTGTTGAAGAATCCAGAAGATTAGGATTTGAGAGAACACAAAGAATAAATGCACTGGCGCCATTGCGAACGATTTTGAGCCATGTCCTTCAAGGTCTCTAGCCATCGATTATTATCATCTCGCGGACCCCAACCAGGTAGTCGACAATTACCGACATGGCTAAGTCCACTAGTCAATGACTTCATAGATTTATGCCATGTTTTGGTCTGGCCGCCCCTAGCTTTCTTCCAACCTATTCCTACACTACAAAACAAAGCTCGACGAGGGAGTCGCTGGTTAGGCATACGCAACACGTGTCCCAACCACCTCAATTGATGAAGTTTCACCACTTCATCGATAGATCTGCCATTCTTACCTAGCACCCGATTCCTAATAACAGCGTTGCTCACTCGGTTGTCCCACGATATACGAGCAATGCTTCGAAGACATCTATGATCGAAAACCAATAACCGACAAGTATCTTCTACTCTCGTTGGCCATGTTTCACAGCCATAAAGTAAGACGGAGCGAACCACTGCGCAGTACACTCGTCCTTTAGTCACCAAACGGATATCTCGCCTACGCCATAAGTGACGCAGGTTGGCAAAAGCCAATCGAGCCTTCTGTATCCGTGCCGAGATTTCGTCAGTCACCAGGCCATCGGCACTGATGAGACTCCCGAGATAAGTGAAGCGGTCTACACGTTCGACTACTTCACTCCCTATCACTAGTTCAGGTGCCGTTGCAACCCAATCTTGAAGCAACATTTTGCATTTCGAGGGGGAAAACCGCATCCCGAACATGCTTGCATTGTTGCTTAGGGTAGTCAGAAGACTCTGCATTTTGTCAGCGTCTTCACCAAGTAGGACTATGTCATCGGCATATTCTAAGTCAATAAGCGAGCCACCTGGTAAAAGGTCTACTCCAGAAAATTCAGACGAGGATAAGGTTATTTCTAGGAGCATGTCTATGATAAAATTAAACAAGAATGGAGAGAGTGGACATCCCTGACGGACACCACTTGATGTAGAGAATTCCGGTGACAGTTCGCCATAAGCTCTCACTCGACCAGTGGTGTTTGAGTAGAGAGCTTGTATGAGGTTAATGTACTTATTTGGTACACCTTTCAATGACAGACACTGCCACAGAACCTCACGATCAACAGAGTCAAATGCCGCCTTAAGGTCTAGGAAAACAACTATTGTAGGACGCCTAAATGTGTGTCTGTGTTCCAGGACCTGTCGTAGTGTGAAAATGTGGTCTATACAGCCACGTCCAGGTCGAAAACCAGCGTGGTTTTCTCGAGTCTGCTCTTCACGAGCTTTCGTTAAGCGTCGAAGTATTATTGAGGCCAATATTTTAGATACTATATTAGTTAGACTTATTCCCCTGTGATTGTCACAAGAAGACTTCTGTCCTTTCTTATAGATTGGGACAATCAGTGATTGAGACCAGTCGGATGGGATTACGTCCAGTTCCCAGATTTTACCTAAGATCTCAGTCAATCTAGCTGCTAAAACTGGACCACCATCCCTGAATATCTCAGGGGTCAGTCTATCAGGACCTGCAGCTCGTCCTCGCTTCAGATTTCCTAAAGCTTTCTCAACTTCATTAAGACTAGGGGGACTTACGTCGATTTGCCATTCAGGATGACTGGAGATCGTGGGTAACCGAAGAGTGGCTCGAGGCCAGTTGAACTGATCCCTAAAGTGTTCTGCCCATCGATCCAGTCTCCTGGATTGAGAATAAATAATAGTCCCGTCATTTTCTGAGATAGTCTCGCTTACACTAGGATTCCTAATACCAGTTTCCTTGATAAGTCGGAAAAGTTGTCTACTGTTGCCTATCGCCGCTGCCTTTTCCATCGCTTTTGCTTTCGCCACCCACCACTGTTCGCGATCGTTACGTAGGCTTTTTATAAGTCTGCGCCTAAGTTGACTTCGTTCTTCATCATGTTCAGAGCCAGGTGGGATGAGTTTTCGGGCATCCATCAGATCTGTGGATGCTACTGAGATCCACGGTTTCATTCTAGCCTTATGGTCAACCTTACTAGCAGATATCTCTGCTGTTTCCACAGCCTTTTTGATATCATTCCATCCTGCTTCCGGATGGGAATCGCTTAATTGGTCGCCTAACTGTCTTTCTAGTTGTTCCTGAAATATATTCTTCGTCTTATTATCACTAAGTAAAACCCTAAGAGGCTTTCTTACGGTGTCTTTCCTACGCCCAGTAAGCTTCAAACAAATACGCGCTCGCACTAGGGCATGATCTGAATCTAGACATGTGCTCCAGAACGAGCGACAGTCCTCTATCGAACCCCTCCATCGGTGGCTGATGGCAATGTGATCTAGTTGAATCCAACGTTGAGACGACTTTGGAGGTCGCCAGGTTAACAGATGCTTTTCCTTATGCCTAAAGTTAGTGTTTGCTAAGAATAGGCGGTTGTCTGAGCATATTTGCAACAGACGGTCACCATTGTCTGTTCTCTGAGCCGCGACACCATAACATCCACCTAGGTGTCTCTCCTGCTCACTTAGTCTACCTACTTGAGCATTAAAGTCACCAGCCATTATTACTATATCAGAGCGCCTAGCTTTTTGGAGGAGGTCCGAAAGCTTTCTGTAAAACTCATCCTTAACCTCGTCTGAACTGCATTCAGTGGGGGCATATGCAGATACGACGAAGAGGCAACGGCGATTGTCCCTATCTTTCCGAGTCCTTACTGTCCCGTTTAGTCGGACAGCGCACAATCGACTATCTACAGGGATCCAGTCAAGGAGAGATAATTCTGCCCTACGACTCAATGCTATGCCTACGCCAGCAAGACCCCGGGAAGCAGCATCAGGGCTACCGGATACACGAAGAGTAAATCGAGATGCTTCTTTATTTTGACATGGTGTGGTCAAGTGTATGACGTGACTCGGATCCTGTATGCGCGTTTCCGAGACGCAGCATACATCAATGGCACGAGATTCTAAAGTCCTAGCTAAGGAAGCCTGTTGCCCTATTTGACACAATGTCCGTACATTAAATGCTCCAACATGTAGTCTAGAGCGAGGTTTAAGGAGACCAGGAACGACGTTTCGCGAACTCGTATCGTCTGCATTAGCTGTACACTGTGATGAATGAATGTGAGAAGAGTTAGTCGTGGAGATAAGAGAGGTACTAGGGGGTGTAGGAA